TTTGTTAAATGGCTACCAGCAAATTAATGAGACGCCATTTCGATCCGTTTAATCGATGATCCATGCGTCGTATGGTACCTGAGCAAAAATCCTCTCGACGAAGCTAGTCATTACTTGAACTAATTTCCTCCTCAGATCAGGTTTCATCTCTTTCAGCAATTCTTGGCTATTAGTATTAATGAAGAGATTCAATGCCGCCACTGAAATAAATTCAAAACAAAGAAAAAATCTTATTAGACTTGATTGATCGAATTAAAACGTCTGATCAACCGGATTTTATGTAACTTCCGATGCGGAATACTACAGATTTCTTTATTTTAAAAGTTTCTTAATTACGAGTAAAATATTATAAATGGCGAATTTAAAGTAAAAGATTATTAATAATTATATTTTATACCGAGAAGGCTTCTTTGATTTTATAATTTTAGATAACAGTTATGCTTAGATCTAGAAAGATGTAGATGAAATATAGTTTTCAACTTTTGTTATCTTGTAAAATCTTGTAAAATTTGACATCTTGTTAAATCGTATAATTCTGTTGAATAAAATATTGACATTCACGTCTCGAAACAATGATTCACTTTTAGGATTCACTTCTTCAGATGAAATAAAAGGATGTCTTCTTCAGATGTCTTAAAATTAATATTCTTCCAGGTATATACATAACACTGTTCTAACAAACTGACAATCTTTATTTACAGATTTTTTACTCTTTTTGCAAAGATATAATTCAAGGTGTGATTCATTCAATCATTATATCAATGCGTAATTTATTACACTTTGGACTGCAACAATAAAACAATTAAATTTGAAAGTATAAAAACCGTGCTGCCTTTAGTATATAAATCTATTTCTTAGTCTGTCGTTTTGAAACGCTTGGGGAATTTTATTTTGAATATAATTCTTACGTAATTGAATTCACAATTTATTTAACAATTTATTACAAAAAAAAAAGAGAAAAATAAATACTTACGAATTATGGCGTTGCTATCGCGAACATTTTCGACGCCCATTTTAATATTCTGCACACTGAAGTCCATCTTCAATTGCTGTAACCTCAAGTAATTACGACCTTGAAATACGAATGGCTTTGCCCTGATAAATACTTTCGCCTTTACACCTTCTGCAATTATGAAAAACAAAATAAATAAATTTTTAGTAAAAGAAAATTTCTATTTAATAATTTACATAAATTTTCTCTTCGATATTTCACAATTTGTAATTTTCTAAAAACCTTCTTCGTTTCTAAGCAAAAATTATAATGTTTATAAATATGTATATAAATAAAATATATGTTTCCCTAAGAGCAAAAGCTTTATGCTTGTACTTCGTGTTATAAAGAGCAAGGTGCAGTTGCATCGAACGGGTTGCATTCTATAAGGCGAATGCATTAAAAATCAATAGTACCATTCGCGTAAAGATAGGATCAGTGTTTCTCACATGAATATGCAAATATTATTGATATCCTATGATTTCGGTACAAAGAAAAATTTTGATTTTACATTTCTAACACTTTCTCAATAACAATACATTTAAAATATACAATGTAAGAAATAGTATGTAATATAAAATCGTATCGTATCTTGTCGAATTTTTATAGGGATTTTAAAATTCGTTTTTTTTTTTTTACACGTGTCCATATATCGACAAGGTATTCTTAAAATTAATATTTATATGTCGAAATGTTGAACACATGTATTGCCATTATTCTCTTCAATTTAGAATTATATTTAGAATTATCCAATATTAATTAATCCATTAATTATTTAAGGATCATCTCAATAAAGTGAAATATTGCCATTAAAATGATTTTTACAATCAGACGGTTGTTGTATTCTCATGATACAGGCACGGCACGCGAAACGAAACATAAAAGCCCATCTGAAAACAAATTTGCATTGCGTCGGCGGTGAAAGTCGGCGACGCTCTTGACTTTTACCTTTTCACTCAGCCCGCGATGTTCTATCACCACGATGTGATCGTCTACCTCAAATTATAATCGCTCACCGTCACAGCCTATTACTACCAGCAGCCTTCTAGTTGATCCTACTTTATCCAACGAGTACCACTCACCTGAACTCGAATCACGTTCCATTCATAAACGCATTGGCATTGTTTCCAGAAACAATGTCATTACGATTCTATTAAAATAATCCCACGACTAGGTTAATCAACATCAATTGTAATTTAACAGGAGTAGTCACCAGAGGAAATTGAATACTAATCTGAAATTATAGTTCGACGAATGTCGAATCATCCCTCACCGTATTCGCCCCAATAGTCACCAGCGCCACTGGCTTTCACCAGGAGCAAGGTACCACTGGATCGGTACTTGGCGGCCGCTCTGATCTTCGGAATGCTGAGGGCTAATTGCAATTGAACCTCGTCTTCCGATATTCTAGCCCTCAAGCCAGTCACCCGTAACGTGGACACTCCCCTCGCCGTGATATTCTTGAACTGTGCTCTGTATCCATCTGGCCCTCCACCGAGTGCGATGTGAAGTTCGTCGAGGATAATCGGCTCTACCTCTGGATATCCTAAGTGCGGTAAACCTGAAATTTGACAATCAACAAACTGGTATATTTCAGTGTGTCACTATGGTGAAATTCAAAATTAACTTTTGTTACGTCACTGTTACGTTCTGGAATTGAAACGATAGATGTTAATTAAGGTAGTAGTTTTGCATGACGTTGTCAACAAATGACATTAATTTGGCAAGGATATCTGTGTGTTACTGTTGGAATTGAAATGACATTTATTGAGACAATTTACGAAAAATGGTATGTTACGAAAAGAAAAGTATTGAGACTTACAGAGCGTTTTAAAGTAATTGGCAAGGATGACATGCTCTGGTTTATTTGTGAAAATTTTTCTTCCACTTCGCGCTTTCGAAAGTGGAAGGGCACATTTGAATATTAAATCACGTAGAAGTACACGAAAGCGAATTTTAAATGTCCATTCAAATCAAATCAAATCGTCCACTGTAACAATAGTAAAACTTTCCACGTTTCTTGCGCTATCTTTTGGCACAATTTTATAATTTGAAATTAGAAAGAAGAGAGTGAAAGGAAAATTAAATCGATCGATTAAAATTCGTTGTACGTTTGCTCGTTTTACCGAGAGGAAAATCGAAAGTAATAGGCGAAAAAAGAAATTTTTATAGCCGAAGAGGAGAACGAACTCTACGAATGTTAAAAATTTCGATGCGATGTTTTATTCAATGCGCGCAAGCGAACCGAACCTATTCCATCCGTGTAGTGGACGTGTGTAAGTGTTGGGTGTGGAATGTAGGACACTGGGTGACCATTCGAATACACCGTTATAACCTGCTTCTTTGCCGCTCGATGCCTTTTTTTCCCCGCCGTTTTCAACCATCAACCACGTGCTCCCGCACCATTTGTAATTCCCTCCGACTTTCGACTTCCGTATTTTTCACCGCCGCGACACGCGAAACTCTACTTTTAGAAAATGGGTCTACCATTCCTGGGCAAGTGCATTTACCCGCGTAATGCAACTTGGTCACTGCGATCTACCGGGTGTCTTGCAGCCGATACTTTGAAGAAAAGTCACCGGCTGCGGGCTTAGAGTCGCAGATTTACAGTAATGTAGAACAAAAACATTGAAAATATGTAGAATTTTTATTTAAAAGTCTATGTATATTTCTTTCTTTCATTTCTCTTAAAAACAATAATTCTTCGAGAACGAAAAGGAATAATCTTTTATATTGTTGTGATATCAGTTGTAAATGTAAAAAGTTTATTGCTATATTTTACTTCAATTATTAAAACAATTTTATTATTATAATATTGTATTGTATCATGTTAGAGCAAACCGTGCCACTTGTATAGTTTTACTTTATTTTAATGTTCAAAATTGCGCAGAATGTACGATAATATGAAGGAAACTAGAGAGAAGAATAAAGTATTCAAAATAAGCGTTTTATAACATTATTCCTGTTAATTATTATATTTGTTAGAATCACGTATAAAGCAGAAGATCAATGCATATTTGAATTATGAAGTCTAATGATTTGCAGATGATTGATTGAAGAACGAATAGAGAAATAAAATGTTTGAAGGAAAATTAAACATTTTATTAGCATAATATCTCTAGTTTAGATATAAAGTTACATTAATATATTAAAATACTGATATTAGTATTAGTAGTTGCAAAAAGATTTTAATTTTTCGGAAACATTCTGCATAGTCACGCTAAAAAGTGTCAAGTACGAAGCACGAGCGACTAATTTTATTTCCATTAAAAAATTACACGAACCAATTTTGAAAAAATATAATAACCTTTGGCTAAGTTATTGTTAAGTACAGAATCTTTTTATCATCGTAAGTTTTGAAAGTGTCATTAACTTTCTCGCTACGCGATACAATAGCTGAAAAACAAGAGCACGATAGTTATTTACCGAGGAAAATTCTATCATAAAGATAGTATACTTGTCTGAAGAGATGTTTAACCAATTGATATTTAACAAAATAATTTTTACAATTATGTGACAGGCGTTCGACTAACGAGCAAACGAGTGAAAAATATTTAGGTTAAATTACATACGATTATCCCGCCAAACTGAATTTCCACTGAAAAATTTCATTGCAAACAATTTCTTACCGTGACGAAAGTGTTCGGTGAGTGCGTTGGCCGATCTAGCAAGACAATTCTCGACATTGTAGTCCCTTCTGGAGCAAGGTTCTAAAAACTCTAGTCCTCTGTATCTACCAATGGCCTGTACGCCGATTAGCAACGAACACACGCACACCAGTAGGATACTCTTCATCTTCAGCTTATCTTCGGCTTCAGATCGTTGACTCGTGTTCGTCGAACGTTCCTCGAGCCTGGCTCGCGTCGATCGAATTTCTCCGTGAAATGACCGGCCGTCAGGGATGCGCCAGGCCTTATAGCACCTTGACATTGCCCCCGCTATGTCTTCGAGGCCAACGCGCGAACAACAGAACGAAATTCAACGACGGAGTCGGAAGAACTCCCTGCTGGAGGACTTTCTTCGACGTTGAATTTCAATTCCGAAGGCACTGTGTCATCTAATTATACGGAAAACAGAAGACTTATTAATTGGTTTGGTCATTTTGTCAAAGATGAAAGACGTTTCTTTCGTTAATTTCATTGCGATCGTTAAATGATTAAATCACGAAAGATAAGGGACACAGGTGAACATTTTTTAAATAGTAATTATCAAAAGTAGAACGTCTCCTGATAATTGATTATTAAGAACATTTCTCGACAGGGACCATTGAAAGCGGAAGAACTTCTTTCTCATAGTTTTGAACATTCAACAATTATTGAAGATAGGATTTAGGAATTACTAAATGAGATTTAGAAGATGTTTTAGTAATAGCTATTGGGCGCCAAAAATTTT